GTCGATTGTTATAGCAGATATACGTTTGCTTAATCGACAATTCCACCAAAAGAATATGATATGGCAAAAAAAGGTTTGGCCTTCCTTGAAAATTGACATTTGCCTTGTGACCCAAAAGGCGCTCGTGGTAGTGTGGCTGAGTGATTAGCGTGTCAAGCTCCCATCCTGCAGTGTCGCGGTTCGACTCCCGCTGAGGGTGTTGATAAAACCGATGCGACCGGCTTAAATAAAAAGACAATTTCTCGGAAATAGTAAATCAAGAATATTAAGTAGACTTTAATAAAGCACACATTTCTTGTATCGTTTTATCGTTATATTGTATTGATTTTACCTTGTTTTCTCAACTTGGTTCGAAGAAAAGGGAGACCTTGTAGAACCTTCTTAGTCATGAGTCCTTTGTCATACTAGTAGTCATGATAATACCAGAATCAAACTAGCTCATTTTACAAGTTGTAACTGGGTGCTAAGGCTGGGGTCTTTCCTTGATGATGCCAGCGAAAAGTATGAGAATGTACCAATTCAACAGTCCGATGCTGGAAATTATCACGAATACTGTCAGAGAATATGGTACTAAATGCTTAACTTCGACCAAGCTGCTGAAACGAAGTCAAGCCAACAATACAAATTCATTTAGTCTGATAATTATTTCGTGTGCGCAGGTAAGCAGCTCGTCATGCATATAACAACTCTGGAATCAACTGAATACTCAAAAGGTATGAAGACCAAGATGGTGTGGCCTTTTGTGTGAAAGGCTCATTGGCGATGCCGATTACGATGCCGGCAAAATGTCTTGGAATGTACCATATTCACGGCCAGACTCTGGAAATTATCATGCATACAATGAACTAAGGACTAGGTGCGTTCGTCTAGGTCTTCCTACCAATATGACCAAGTTGCGAAAACAAGGTCAAAGAACTTTGATACACAAAAGTTGACGAATTTTCAACGACAATTGACGCAGAACACGCGGGATTCAGCAAATTTATTCAATATAATTGCCCACGACAATTGCTGAGCTAACCTTCAACTTGTGTAAAAGTGTGCTATGAAGGGATTAGAAGGCCGACCTTACAAGAAGACGACGGCAGTAGCCCCATTGCCCATTGTTCGATTATTTTTGGACGTTCATGTCGAAGGAGCCCTTGAGACATTTTTCCTTGGTTCCATTAGAACGTTCAAATCGTTTGTCATTTTTAGACAAACAAACGCATTATTCCAATTGCATGATACATCAGTTTAAAAGGAATAATATTAAAAAAAGATATTTTTGGAGAGGGATATGGAGGTTGGTAGATTTTATGATATTTTATTTTGGCCTGCGAGCCTAATTGCTAAAAAGAAAGTGGAATAGCAAAACAGTTGTCAAAAAAACTTCTTCGATTATACTCACAATTAGAGATAATTCTGACCCTCAATTAAAATCATGCGATCGCTACTATGTTGAGTAAAACTGTCCCCTCCCTCGGCAGAGAGTGGATGAGCATAACAATACATGTCAAAACTGTAAGCTATAATGACCACAAGTCGCTAGACAAACGAGAGAAGCTAAACAAGAAATACAATGGTTCAGAATTATCGTTTTGATGATTATGATACGCTTGATGATAAATTTAAAAAAACAGAGGCCATAAAAATAAGTACATTAGGGAACACATTGAATCTAAGGAATATGGGTAGGAAACCAAGTCACAACTACCTAAACTAAATTGGCAAACTTAAGGATCAAGAGGAAGTTGGACCACCTTCACATGGAAGGCTCATGGCTTGAGATATGGACATATTTTTCAAACAGCTTGCTTGATAATCAAAATAACTAATAATAGTAGAATATTATAACTCTCTCGTGCCACATTAACCCTCATATTTATTAATTAAAACTATTACTACTATGAAGCAAAGCTGCAACGTAATAAGAGCAAATTCCAAATAATCATTCCTATATCTAATTGACCATCTATGGATCAGCAATACCTTTTCCATCAGGCATTGCTCAAATTTTGCCATGAAAGTGTTCGACAGAATAGAATCTATAAGGTGAATTCACCCTATTTCGCTTAAGGTGATAAGGGTAATGGTAGTTGAGGTTCCCCACAATCAAATAATTAGGCCCTACGTTTCCATTGAATTTTACATAGCTTAGCTTTCCCAAAAGGTGTGCTCATACAGATATAAATGGACCGTAATTTCGACCTCATCTATGTCTTATCAAGACCCCCAGCGGGACTCAAACCAAGACAGTGCAGCGCATAATTTCGATACGTTAACTACTACGCCAAATTGTCCCGACTGCCCTTGGGATTGTCAATAAAACAAAATTATAAACGTAGGATTGAGAAATTCAACTACTACTCTCCTTATCATCTTAAACGGAATATGATGAATACATCTCATATATATGATTTACTGGTAGTCTCTAAAACCTACTTATAAACGAAAAATATGATCGAAACGCGAACTATTGTAAGCTAATTTCCCTGTCCATATAACATATGGTACAAGGTTCTACCTAATTGCAGATAAATAGTAGACTGCTATAGCAAATATCGATAATCCTACTAGTGAATGTGACATGGAAAGATGTTTGTCCCTCCCTGTGACTCAAGAGCACTCGTAGCAATACGGTGTAGTGGTTAACGTGTCGAGATTATAGGCTGTACTGTCACGGTTCGAGTCTCGCTTGGAGTGCTGATGAGACCTAAGCGAGGTCAAAACTTCAGTCTATTTCAGCCTAGATGAGAATACCTTTTGGGGAAGCAAGGCTCTGTGAAATTCAATGGAAACGTCAAGCCTACTCATATCATTATGTGAGAATTCAATTGCCAATCCAGCTAGCAACTTAGACGAATTAGAATGAATAAATCTCATAAATATATATATATATATGTATATAGGATCTACAGGTAGTCTCGAAAACATACTTATAAACGAAAAATATGATCCAGACGTAATCTCATTGTAAGCTAATTTGCCTGTCCATAGAACATACGGAAAATTAAGCAAACTACTCATGTCTGAGGTAAAGCTGAAGGTAATCGTTGAAATTGAGCCACCTTTAAAATTAATATTCTAAGTCGGTTAGATTATAGTTCAAGTTAGAATGACATTTAGTAAGCATCTGATTTCGCACCTAGAGTCCTTGATCAAGATCCGTCGTTACGCTCTGTTGCGATTACCGAAAACATTCTTTGTGACTTCCTTACCGCATGCACATAAACACAGACTTGCATAACATTTCATTCATTAAATAGGTAACTAATGAAAAACCCGCTCAGATCAATAGTATATATATATATATATGAGCTGACTTGCACTGAGTATTATTGATTCATAAGCTTCAAGTCATTCCTAGAATGCCTCGGAATTGACGATGCTATACAAAAGACGAGAATATGGCACTGTGAATATTTGAAATAGTTTCAGCAATTTGATCAGCATGGCAGAGGAACCTTGTAAAATGTTCTCCCTCTTATACTGTCTGCCTTCGAAGGACTTCTTTATCATAATTGGCACTTCCACTCATCCATTCATTTCACTCAACGCTATCAGGTGTTCCTTGCTACCTTCGGAAATCCATGTATTATCAAAGTAACTAACTATAAACCCTCTATCCTGACCAATATTTTTGTCGTACTCAAGGATTTGTTCACGACTGGCAACGAACATAAGAACAATATAAAA